CCGAAGACAATGATCCAGCGATTTGTCTCCTGCCATCCCTCTCCAGCCTCTGACAAACAGAGGCCAAGGACACCATTTTATCCCCTGGCTAATAGCCTTTTATGGACCTAACCTCCATGAAATTATCTAGCTTCTCTTTAAACTCTATTATAGTCCTAGCCTTCACAGCCTCCTCTGGCAAGGAGTTCCACAGGTTGACTACACGCTGTGTGAAGAAGAACTTTCTTTTATTAGTTTTAAACCTGCTACCCATTAATTTCATTTGGTGTCCTCTAGTTCTTCTATTTAGGGAACTAATAAATAACTTTTCTTTATCGGCCCTCTCCACACCACTCATGATTTTATAGACCTCTATCATATCCCCCCTCAGTCTCCTCTTTTCTAAACTGAAAAGTCCCAGTCGCTTTAACCTCTCCTCATATGGGACCCGTTCCAAACCCCTAATCATTTTAGTTGCCCTTTTCTGAACCCTTTCCAAGGCCAAAATATCTTTTTTGAGGTGAGGAGACCACATCTGTACACAGTATTCAAGATGTGGGCGTACCATAGTTTTATACAGGGGCAGTAAGATGTTCTGGGTCTTATTTTCTATCCCTTTCCTAATAATTCCTAGCATCCTATTTGCCTTTTTGACCGCTGCTGCACACTGCGTGGAAGTTTTCAGAGAATTGTCCACGATAACTCCAAGATCCCTTTTCTGATTTGTTGTAGCCAAATTAGCCCCCATCATACTGTACGTATAGTTGGGGTTATTTTTCCCGATGTGCATTACTTTGCATTTATCCACATTAAATTTCATTTGCCATTTTGTTGCCCAATCACTCAGTTTGGTGAGATCTTTTTGGAGTCCCTCACAGTCTGCTTCTGTCTTGACTATCCTAAACAGTTTGGTATCATCTGCAAACTTTACTACCTCACTGCTTACCCCTTTCTCCAGATCATTTATGAATAAGTTGAAAAGGATTGGTCCCAGGACTGACCCTTGGGGTACACCACTAGTTACCCCTCTCCAATCTGAAAATTTACCATTTATTCCTACCCTTTGTTTCCTGTCTTTTAACCAGTTCTCAATCCAAGAAAGGACCTTCCCTCTTATCCCATGGCCATGTAATTTACACAAGAGCCTTTGGTGAGGGACCTTGTCAAAGGCTTTCTGAAAATCTAAGTATACTATATCTACTGGATCCCCCTTGTCTGCATGTTTGTTAACCCCTTCAAAGAACTCTAACAGATTAGTAAGACAGGATTTCCCTTTACAGAAACCATGTTGACTTTTGTCCAACAAATTATGTTCTTCTACATGCCTGACAATTTTATTCTTTACTATGTTTTGACTAATTTGCCCGGTACCAAAGTTAGACTTACCCGTCAGCCCCGCCTTCCTCCTCCTGCTGGTGCCCAGCCCTGCCTCCCCTCTCTCTCCTCGCCCCCCAGTGTCCTGCCTCCCGCACTCCTGCCCTGGCACTGATGCTCAGTCTCCCTGCAGATTTTGTGGTGGATCAGATGCAAGCAGTGAAGTTTGCCCTGGACATTGCCCGGGGCATGGCCTTCCTACACACGCTGGAGCCCCTGATCCCCCGGCACCATCTCAACAGCCGCAGCATCATGGTGAGCAGAGACTGGGCGTGGTAGCTGGGCCCATCCCCTCCCTGCTGAGGGGCTGGGCGCAGTAGCTGGGCCCTCACAGGTGCCGGGCTGATCCCCTCCCCCCCACAGATTGATGAGGACATGACCGCGCGTCTCAGCATGGCAGATGTGAAGTTCTCCTTCCAGTGCCCTGGCAGGATGTATGCTCCAGCATGGGTGGCGCCAGAGGGTGAGTGTTACCTCAGCCCCACAGGGAGCTGCTGTTGCTTAGTGCCTGGCGGCCAGAAGCCCCTTGCTTGGGGTGCACATTCCCTGAGCACTCATGGCTCCCTGCAGCTCTGCAGAAGAAGGCAGAGGAAATCAACCGGCGCTCGGCTGACATGTGGAGCTTTGCGGTGCTGCTTTGGGAGCTGGTGACGCGTGAGGTGCCTTTTGCAGACCTGTCCAACATGGAGATCGGCAGCCCTGCCAGGGCCACCACTGGGGAGGAGGGGATAGGTCCAGCCGGGGCTGTGGCCTTGATCCAGGCCCATCCCCGGCTCTACTCCTGCTTGCACACAGGTGGCACTGGAGGGGCTGCGCCCAACCATCCCGCCTGGCATCTCCCCCCACATCTGCAAGCTGATGAAGATCTGTATGAACGAGGACCCTGCGAAGCGGCCCAAGTTCGACATGATCGTCCCCATCCTGGAGAAGATGCAGGAGAAATAGGGGCCAGCCCCCTGCTAGTGCCAAGCTTCCCCGCCCCCTCCAAGTGCCTTCAGGAGGTGCCTACCCTTCCCACCCTCAACCTGCGTCAGCCACAGACACATGGTCACATGGAGGCACACAGGACCCACTGCGCAGCAGCCACCTCCACCCTCCCTCCCAGCTGTACCAGTGAAAGGGGAGGGAGTCTTCTACTAGCCCCAGGTCTAAGATGGGGCCTTGGAGCCACCCAGCACCTTATGCTTACAGGCTCAGAACCCCACCTCCCCCCACAAGACCTCACTTTGCCTGCCTGCAGCCAGTGCTGGGGTGATTTCATGCTTCATGTTTTTAAATAGCTCCCAGCCAGGCCCCACAGGAGAGCTGTCAGCATCTGCAATAAACGTTTGTTATGGAAACTGGCCCTCTGTGACTCATCCAAAGAGGCGTTCCTGGGCTGTAGTCTAGGCCTTGGCTAAGCAGTGTACACAAATCCTCTAGCTGCCCTCCCAGCCAGGGATGTCCCATAGCTCATGCTCCCATGGCACCTCCCCTTAGGCCAGGAAGCCAAGGAGTAGTTGGAGGACTGGAGGGCACTGCTTGCCTGCAGGAGAGCAGGGTCATGAGAACAGCTAGTCCTGCACACAGCTGACATGTCCTCCCTCTGCCGTGGGACGGGGCTAGTCCTTCACATTCTCAGCACCATGCAGTGAAGCTGTAGGACACCGCAGCCGATCACCTACCTGTCAGCACCAAACCCCAGCCAGAGCTACACAAAACCCAAGAGTTGCAATTCCTTCAGGGCATCAACACCCTCCCCCTGCAGAGCCAACAGCACCTGGGCTAGCAGCCCCTTGTCCCAAGGACTGGCCAACACATCCCCAGAGGCCAGTGTGATGGGCCCGTCGGGGCTGTCCCAGTGGCAGTCCCTGCACCACAGAGCAGGGCATCAGCATTCCCAGAGCAAAGAGCCCCTCACACAAACCACCAGCCAGCATCAACGCTTTAATAGAGCAGAGCTCCTGCCCATCACAGCGCAGGATGGGCAGGCTCCCCTGTGCTAGGTGAAATAGTGTGGCTTCTTCACATTGATGCCATACTCCGCAAGTGCTGGCATCAGGTCCTCCATGGTCAGGGTGTACTTCTTGTCCTGCTGGGACGGAGGCAGAGTCAGTGACAACAGGGCAGCCATTGCCAGGCGCACCACCCTCCTTCCCCAAAAGCAGAGACAAGATGAGGACAGGGACAGCGGCTATTGGATTAACTCCTTTTGGAGAGACGCAAGGGCTGTGTCTAGACTGGCCAGTTTTTCCAGAAAATCAGCCGCTTTTCTGGAAAAATTTGCCAGCTGTCTACACTGGCCACTTGAATTTCCGCAAAAGCACTGACTTCCTACTGTAAGAAATCAGTGCTTTTTGCGGAAATACTTTGCTGCTCCTGTTCAGGCAAAAGTCCCTTTTGCGCAAAAGGGCCAGTGTAGACAGCTGAGATTTGTTTTGCGCAAAAAAGCCTGATCGCGAAAATGGCGATTGGGGCTTTTTTGCGCAAAAGCGCGTCTAGATTGGCCACGGACGCTTTTCCGCAAAAAGTGCTTTTGCAGAAAAGCGTCCTGCCAATCTAGACGCTCTGTTCCGAAAATGCTTTTAACGGAAAACTTTTTCGTTAAAAGCATTTCCGGAAAATCCTGCCAGTCTAGACGTAGCCAAGCTGATCAGCCATTCTTCATACGCCATTTCCTGAGCAAAGGCAAGACAGCATAGATTGGCCACGGACGCTTTTCCGCAAAAAGTGCTTTTGCAGAAAAGCGTCCTGCCAATCTAGACGCTCTGTTCCGAAAATGCTTTTAACGGAAAACTTTTTCGTTAAAAGCATTTCCGGAAAATCCTGCCAGTCTAGACGTAGCCAAGCTGATCAGCCATTCTTCATACGCCATTTCCTGAGCAAAGGCAAGACAGCACATTCTCCCCAGGGATCCTTGGGGCCAGACCCTTCTGCCCAGCTCCCCA